ATGCAGATCTCAAGAACTTTGAAAGCAATAGCCAATTTATTGAAGATCTGGTACTATAGTCAGAAATCGGTACGTAATTGCTTTAAGATAGGAGACGGCACTGATCTGTATCGAAACTTCGAATACCAGTCCGCTTACAATAAAAAAAAAAAATGTACAGGTGGAGTTGTTTACCTGGAAACTTAGAGTGTCGAAACCTCTTCTTGTATGTTCTTTTGTAATTGCTCTCGAATATTTTTTCTGAAACGTGATTTGTTTTCTTCCATAAAGATTTACAGATAGTCAGAAACAATTTTACAGAAGGTTCCATATACGTAGTTAATAGTTTAATAGGCCACTGGTAGAGAATATGGTTGTTGAATTTTCAGAATTTACCAGGTCAATTTCACAGTGTACTGTGTAACGGAAAAACATAACGAGCGTTTGACTGAACAACAAAGAAAAGTGGAGTTTAGCTGTATAATACATAATGAAAACATACAATCCTATACACAGCCTCTAGCCTACCAAAACAATAAAAATTTGTGTTATATAGGTCACAGACAAATCTCAGCCCGGCCATGTACACTCATAAATCTCAAACCACGCATTTTTAAAACTGTAGAGGTGTCAGTCAAATTATATGTAAATTATTTTAATAAAAATGTGATTGTACATGGCAGAGCTATTGTCACCTGTATGAGTAGTCCGAGACACCTTCTCTCGAAAGCCTAATACGTGTATGTCGCTCCAGTAATGTAGTTTCCACCTTGCGGATTTAATAATATCCCATAGGGATACTAGCTAAAAGTACAGTAGGCTAGTATCTAAGATGTCTTGAGTCGTTCGTGTAGGATAATGGACAAAGACCTCAGACTGCAACAGACTGTTCACATTTAAGATCCTCCAACGTTATGAAATAAATGAAGATTGGGCTCAAGTCGCTGTACTGATAATATTTCCATCACTGCATACTGTATGTCATCGCCTGTCATCATAAGCACAATCAGGGAGAGAGGATGAGGGTAATGTGTTAAAGCTAGTGTATCTAAATACTTTCTTTGTCTAAGTCAGGCTCTCGGACTACCGATACAATTAGCATGTTTGAAACTATGTTTGCAGGTCGACGACAGTCAGATATACGTGTGGTATGTGTATACACGTTATGGTAGTTATAATCTTCGTTAATGGTATTTCAACTCCTAACCCTGTCCCAAGTCTAGGACAGCAATTGGCACAAGAAGAGACTTAAGAGTATGAAAGCATATTCCCTTTTAAATGGTATTTTGAACTTTTACTAGCCCCGTCCCCAGCCTTGGGCAATTGCGAGTGGCCTACCAATGGGTATAATGATAAATACTAAAACCATACTAAAACTCCTTCATTGTTGTTTCAAAAACATTGAAACGATTTCAGTTTTTCAATAGTTTTTGTATACAATAAACCAAAGAGAACATAATTATTCGTACTGTATACGAACGATATGATATCAACCAGTTTGCTTCCACGACCAATGTTTCTATGGAGTACCGAAGTAGATGAAATCTAATCCTACTTGGTTTGAAAGTTTAACAGTAAAATAGAATTTGAGGAATCGTTGAATAAAAACACAGTATTGTTTATAAGATATTTTTTCTCTCTGTACTGTTTCCCATTGAATAACCTTTAGAATATAATATAACTCGAACCTTTCAGCTTTTACACCGTGTGTTTGACCTATAAACTGAGAATAGACTCAAATGGTGTTCACTACACAGCTAGGTAACCTAGAACTTTGGGTGGTAAAAATATAACAAATAAACATTATTAACCCATTGTGATGCCGAGTTGACAAGCCCAGTAGTAGTAGTAGTAGCAGGTGCTCTGAAAAGGTGAGCATAAATTGGAAACAAGCGGTTAATAAGAGAACTTAGAACTTTGGGTGGTAAAAAAATAACAAATTTACAACCATTGGCCATAATGTACATTATAAGCCATAATGTTGGATACCAAGTTGTCAAACCCGACAGTAGTAGCAGGTGCCCGAAAGGAGTCAGTATACCATGACTTTCGACTCTCAATGTGGAGTCCTAAAATGTTAGCAAATTGAAGTGTTGTATTCCCGTCAGAGCGTCCACATATAAAAGGGTAACACGATTTGTTGGTTTAATACTCATAAGTATTTTCGTAAGCAAAGTTTCACCAATTTATATTGTCACCATTAGTTTATATGGTATACTACTCCTATGTTTTAATGTACTCATCGTTTCAACAATTTACATTGTCATCATAAGATATAGGATTAGCCTAGAGCTAACTGTTACTCCGGTTCGGTTATTAAAACAGTAGGCGGGTTTTTAGTTAATAATTAATGAAAATTTATAAGATTGGAATGTTGGAAAGTTTTAAAAAAAATGTAAGTTCTCAGCTGATGATGTAAATTTAGAAAAGTTGTTAAAACTAGAGCCATAGAAAGTTCAAAGAAAAAACTTCAGAACATATTGGTCTCTCCTTCTCCTTTGACTATGTTAACTAGATGGTCTTTAAGAAACTTCGAACTCGCTTTGAAGATTTTGGAAAATTTAACAGGTGATAAACTCTTCAATGTACATCAGAGAAATTATTCCTAAAATCAAAACCACGAGTTAAAACTCTGCCAAAAACAACAACCTTGAATTTGGAAATTTGAAAAATAAACATATTTAAAATACGAAGTTACGAGGTTACTACAGTTCAGATGTATTGATCCTGACGCCATTTTGAATCTAAATAAACAGTTTGTGTAACGAGCTGCGTTGTCTCTTGCCCAATCCTAAAACCTAAAATAGACATCTTTTTTCAAGTCAAATTCGAGTGAATTTAATATGATTGATTTTTTAACTGGATCTCTTCTCTTTGTTAATTGAAAACATCATAGCTTTGGACTGAAGACTGGTACAAATGGAGTGCGAATGTACAAATTATGTTTATCGTGGAGTTGGCGCACACTCCACCTTTGAAGGAAAGATAATAGAGCCGCATTTGCTGGGATACAAGATGAATAATGCCAACCAATGTGTATAAGCATATATCTCGATATAAATCAAATATCTAATCGGGATTCTGGAAACCCATCCATGTAAATCGGAAGTTAGGCTACCCCCAGTAAATCAAATTCCATTAATTCAACATATGGCCATATATGGTTAAGTTATGCAAAACTCGATAAACTTCATCCATCAAGCCGGTTAGACAGACACGACACATCAAAAATAGTTTTTAAATTTTATATTTTTCTTTGTAATTCAGTATAAAATGTCAACAACTTTCATCAATACAAAACATATCATTCTACAAAACACCGTGGACAGATTGGGGTGGAGAAAGGGGGGTGAGGGGTTAAAAGACATGGGAATATAAGGGGTTGGTCGGGTAGAGGCATATAAAAGAGGATAGGAAAGAAAAAAGTAAGAAGAAAAGAAAAGGGCCATAAGTTAAAAGACACAAGTATATACCAATACATGTAGATACTTACAAAGGAAAGTGAAATGGAGTTATGGAGTTTTACGTTCTAATTTTGAAGAAAATTGTGAAGATGTGTGCCATAATGAGTATGAGAATATCATTTTCTATTAGCACCTAATTTAAACCAAGAAGCAGTCCCTTATTAGAAATTTAGTGTCAACAATTTAGAATTACTAAAGAAGCTCTTCAAATCATAACAAATGGAGGTAAATTATGTCAAACACGTTGGTGGAGTGAATAAAAAACTATTTTAGATTGCTATCTGCAATTAATTTACATAAAACTACCATTTTGCCTCAGTAAGACACGACAAGCGTCTAATCGCTACAATCTCTTTAATGGTCACCCGATTTTTTTTCATTTACCAATTAACATAATAATAGCTATGCAGATTTGTAGAATGGGACTCTTTAACTAATGTTTAAAATTGTTGATATTAACAAAATTCAAATCGAATACAAACGAGGCTTTTGTGCAATAAAACTGAACCTTAACTTTTGTGAACACTGCATTAACCCTTTTATAGTGCCTTCTGTTGAATAGTACCATGTTACCTTTCAAACACCCTAACGACTATATGTATATTTTGCAATATCCTGTTTGTCAGAGGCAGAAAATTGAGACCTAAAACTCCATTTCATTTTTTCAAACTATTTTGACAAAAATAGATTTAGATAAAGGAATTTTTCACTAAAAAAACGTGGGAAGAAAATGGTTATAGATATTTTTTAAAGTAAAATATAAAATGCTGATGTATTATGCAAATTACCTTTTGGTTCATAACCACCATAATTGAAATTAAGTGCATAATTAATTGGGGGTATGTTAAAAACGAATGGACAATAAAAAATAATAGAATGGCCCCAATCTGTCCACAGGTTGATAATATAAATAACCCCAAGGCTCTACTAGCCTCACCCTACGTACACCCCCGTGTACTTCCCCGCCCTAAAATGCAACGATAACCATCACTATGACGATGGTTAAAGGGAACCACCCTGTTAAAATGAGGTAACAATGGATTGTATTAAAATCAAACTGACGAAGAAGCATCAACACACACATACACAGCCTCTTTAAATTGTTCGTCTTATATCCTTATTAAAATATGTTTAAGTGACACTTAGTTTAGTTTCATGTTCAGTAATAAATAGCACTTAGAAATTATAAAAATTAACATTACTGAACACAAACCTAACTTTCACAGATGATGGAATAACGTTAATCAGGTCAATGCACGTGCATTGTGATGTTTGTTCGCCAAGATGATTTAACGTCATATAATTATATATTTTTCATTACGTCACAACACAATCACGCTCTCACAATATATACAAATTAAAGTGTTGTGGTGCACGTACATTCCTTTTTCACTAATGCACTTTCCTACAGAACATACACAATAATAAAGTTAAAGTTAATATGCACGCGTAATTTGTTCTATGTCTTGTGGCACTATTATTATATTTGTCATCATAGATTTTAAAATCTGTCCGATTTGGCTGGGATTTGCCTTTAGATGGATCTAATTGGATTAAGTCTTGTAAAGCAGATAATGCTGCCAAAGTGAAGTTCTGATCACCCGTAGTCATGAGGTCGAACACACAAGAATCGAAGTAAAAATCCACTACATTTGCTTCACGGCAAATGAGTTCAGCGTCTTTTCGCAACATTTGTATATTAGCACTATTTTCACTGAGATTGTCCACAATATCTTGTTTGGAGGCTAAGAATTCCTGATAATTAATACGTTCACTGAGCGGGCAGCCGCGGTAACATAATCCATTACTGGTCGCACTGTGAGAATTATTTACGATTTCTTCAGGCATTTTTATGGCAAATGTAAAATAGCGTCCAATTTGGCGCACTACTATAGTCGTTGCTATATATCGGATGTTTATTTCCACGTGCTTTCCTTCCTCGATTTCTAATAGCTCTACGGATTTGTGTTTTCCATAAAAGGTGTGACCATCGTAAAAGGAACCCGGTAGATCGTCAGTTTGGGCTTGATACATAACAAAATTGTCACTGGCACATCTTGCGTTCTTTTTTATCACAACTGTTAACTGAAAAAGAGAAGAAAATTAGGTTTAAACATTTAAAAATTGGCAGAAACTCAATATTTTTAATGTATTGCAACTAATTTATAATGATACTTTGAAATAAAAACCATAGAACTTTATTCTAAATTTCCTGACTAAGATAAAAATCCACTAGAGGAAAAACTAGTGCTAGATCATTTTGTGACAAATTATAAGATCCGTTGGGGTGAATGAGGTGTATATGAAACATGGCTATTAGTTGATTGAAAGAGTTTATTATATCTATCAATCAATGATTCATAATTATTCCAATACACAATGGTAATGGTAATTTATGATGCGAGAGTATCCACACTAAGACGCTGTAATCTAGCACAGGACAAACACTAAGAGTATCCACACTAAGACATTGTGTTCTTAGGACAAAACAGTTATGTTAAGAATAATTGAAGAAGCCATGTAATTTATAGTGGCGAGGGAGTAAGTGTACAATGGGGAACTTTTGATAGGTGTAAGGAATGAAATGGTGTATTCGTTGGTAATGGTTGATATTACAGACTCCGAAACAAGAAATTGTGCCCTAGCTAAAGCCAAACACCGAAGGAAGTCAAATGATGTATAGTGGCGAGGGAGTAGTGGTTTCATGTGTATCAATATCAGTAGAATTGAGAATTGAAATACGAGATGATTCATGCCTGACACATTCTATTATTATTCAATACTAACTTCTCTCTCCATCTCTATTTAACACTAGAACCGAGCTGTGCAAATTACTTGGCATCATGGACCAAGATTTCCCAGTGTGGTCACAATGATCACTATATATATATGCAGTATCGGTATCAGTCAGGGTACAGGAGGGCAACAACAGAAACATAGTTTGTACCCCATATCATACTAATCTAACTTCGTTTCTAGAAAAATCAAAAGAGTGGGCGATCAACACTTTAGGGGAGATACAAAATATCTGTCTTAAAACTCCTTTTATGTTAATTGAACGACAAATTCCAGTGTTGTGACTATGTTCTGTTTCCTGAATGAAGAAAAACACAATTTTGAGATTATAAGCATTGAAGATACTCTCATCGATAACACTGGACTAGGTCAGAAGTATTATGTGTTACAGAAGATGCCCTCCTCTAACTCGACTAGGTCACAAGTATTTGGTGACAAAAGATACTATCCTATAATAGAAAGATTGGGTAACAAGCATTATGTGTTATAGAATATACTCTCCTATAGCAGCACTGATCAAGGTCACAAGTATCATTTGTTATAGAATATACTTGTCACAAGCATTATGTGTTATAGAAGATACTCCCCTATAGAAACACTGGTCTGGGTCGGAAGTATTAGGTGTTATAGAAGACACTTCTATGGAATACCGGACTAGGTCACAAGTATTAGACGATAACATATACTTGACTACGTCACAAGTATTTTAGACAACGGACTAGGTCACAAGTATTAGTGTTGTAGAAGATACCATCCTATAGCAGCACCGTAGGTCACAAGTATTAGATGATAAAGAAATACTTGACTTGGTCACAAGTATTATAGAAAAATTAGACTAGGTCACAAGTATTAGATGATAAAGAAATACTTGACTTGGTCACAAGTATTATAGATACGATGGACGTGGTCACAAGTGGAGACCATAAAATTTAGCATGTTAAGCGATATAAAGTGAAAACAGGCCAACACATTAGTCAGTCTTTAAACATAATCAAAACAAGAACCAGCAACAACGGATCTAAAGGGTGTAAAATTAATGACCAAAACTTGTGTTTGAAGTCATATATTCAAGGGTATAAAATCAACTTTCTTGTTCCAAACGTTTGTATTTTCCATGATTAACCATAAACATGCTATAATCTAAACCAAATGTGAGGTTCGTTTGTACATTAACTTTATGTTTATCCACAATCGATTTTAGACTTAAAATGGTTAGCAATAATATGTTATACCGTATTGTTATGATTTTTGCATGCTGTTGTATTTTGAATCTGATTTCTTGATATGGACTGACAATATGTTTGATTCTATTTATTCGATGTTATATTGACACTCCTTGTGTATAACTCAGTATAATAAGATGAGTATAATGGTTCTTCCAAGTATTAGTCTGTTGACAATTATTCTTGCAGATAGAACAAAATATACCAATACACAGTTATCCCTTTAAATGTAACTAAAAGGATTGCTATTGCTATCGTAGAGATCCAGTGGTTATCTTGATAAGGGTGACATACGCTATTCTGATTATGAGTTCACCCTAAATATGACCAGTATATGGCTAGCAGGCAAATTCGTTGGTCATTTTAGATAGAGATTTTCAACGGGACATAACAAGGAATATTAGAATCAATGGGATTGCCGTGGTACCGCCATGGTCATCACAGAAGAAAGAAAATCGGGTATCGGATGAAAACCTAAGTGGTCAGTCAAGACAGAGCTACAAGATGCAACAAGAAAAGTGTGATTAGTATATCTATATAGGATTATCATTATCACCACAGAAGACAGACTTTGAAACTGAAAAGTAGCCATCGAGAATCGGACTATTACCTCCAAAATGGTGACCTAGAATCATAGTTAGCACAAAATAAAGAAGTATAGCATGTGAGTGTAATATAAGGTTTTGGTCTAACTTTATACAACACCTGTACAAATAGACAACGAGATATGGCTCTACTCTTGACGTAATTCACAAACAATAAATAAACCTCACAGTTTACTGTTTTTCATCTCCCAGGTTTTGTGTACCTGAGTCTTTGCTAACTTTAGCACAATCAATAATCAGAGGGTACAGAAAAATCACAAAAACTGTTAAATGCACTCAAAACTTTTAACAGTTTTCGAGTTTTTCTACCGCCATGTTTTATTGTTCCCCCGTCTTAAACGAGTAAAATATGTGGACCATAAATAAAGGCGAATGTAAAAGAAATCTAGTTGGTTGAACACACAATCAGTGAAGAACGAGTAGTATAGACGTTGAACTTATATTGGGTTGTACATGACCTCAAGTTTATCACTTCTACGTACCACGTCGGCCATCTTTTTTATCGCGCCCTAATTCACCTAAACCCACAAATCGTTAGTCGAAAACTTCAAGATGAAATTTTAACTTTACTTGCATATATAAACAACTGTAAGGGTGCAGTGTAGCTAATCTATATTTCAAATCAACGACGGTATCAGACGAGAAAGAAAACCTGAGACGAGGAGAGAATTGGGCTGTGAACAAAAGATAGAGTATTGTTTACACACGCTTGAGGTGTTGGGCGGCCATGACACCTCGTCGATTTGCCACTGAGGAGTTAAATGATTAAGTTTTAGATAATTATAGATCACACAATGGAGCGTTAATAACTCGTTAATTAAATCATTCATTAGTACTAATTATCATAATAATATAATCAAGACCTTACCTTGCTGGTAGCAGTAGCTCCACTGTCTCCTATTACAGGATCGTTCGTCACTTGTACCGTTAAATGTTCGTTGTTTACTAAGGGCCAGGCTCCCTGAACTTTACACGTTTGGAATTCTCCATTGAAAGTACTAAGATGTGGATCCCCGAATAATCCACAATGTCTGAAGACTTGTTTTCCCTGATACGAACACTCTGCCGGAATCGTAGGTTCCGAAGGTTTTTCTTTCGCAGGATCTACAGTTGCTCCTGTTACAGAACAATTATGCTGTTTCATTTTATTTTTCACACCTGTCCTCACTGTTAAATAATTTAAATCACCTTTACAATCTCTGGCATTCTTTTTTATACAGTTCCAGTAAGTCCTGAGCGTAATACATTCTTTATCTGGACCCATACCCCCGGGATCCGTGCCCTGCAGTCGGTTAAATTGTTTAGCACACGTATCGATATCACAGCCGTAAATTCTGTCAGTTAATCTGCCCATCAATTCTTGTCCTGAAATTTAAAAATAAAATATATAATAAAAATGAGAACAGTCCTGTTGATAAATAAGACAATCATTATGGGTGGATATATACTTTTAGAATAGGAGTCCTTTTATATATAAATTCCATATCATTGAGTTCTAAATGCCCGGCGCTGTGAACCGCACCCCCTCTCCCCCTTGTCAATGTTCTGGCCCCAACTTATCAGTTTATTATGGTCAAATATATTGGTCAGTTATAAGGGAATGGAGGCGATTATTTTGAAGTTATAAGGTGACATGGACGAAGCCCGTGTCTCGGCATAATAGTTTGAAATGTTAATTTTGATCGTAATGATTAGACATAGGTACGTTGGAGTCAAGAATTCTTGTTGATAAAATAACACAGCTTCGTGTATGTAAAAGTTCAATTTATCAACAACTCATTTTCCTTATTAGATAAAAAAAAAAGGGGTTGCATGGTATGTATTGAAAGTATTGAAAATCAATATTATCATAATAGATCAATAGATATAATATTAGCAATGGTCAATGCTTAACCTCAAGTTAATGTCTATTTTTACAATATAAAATGAGGAATGTTAGGTGGTCAAGAAACTTTTGCAAGGCATTACTTCGGAAGGAATGTGTCACTTCAGGCACTATTTATTTATGACAAGTTTTAAGAGGCAATGGTTTACAAATTTAGATAAAAAGTTTCCTGAGAGACGTGCTTTGTGGGAAAAAGGGTTACAGAGCAATCTTTGGAAAGTGATTTTAGAAAAGCATTGCTATCCTAGTAACATAGTATCGTGGGTAGGAACTTAGTAGGGTAAAAGTCTTAGGGCAATGTTCAAGAACGAGAGTAATTCAAGTGGGTACAAAATTGCCAGAAAATGTGAAACTGGGTTTCGTTTACGAGTTTCAAAATATAGGCTAAAGAACAAAAACAATAACGTTTTTATGAACATAAAAAAGTTGTCATGGTAGACTGAATGCAGTTGTGATTTTCGATCAAGTCCAAATAATTCAGATATAGCCTGATATAGATATAGCCTAAATTTCCATGGAATGCGAATTTTTCAAATCAGATAAAACGAACGACAGTATAGGCAATTCGAGTTAAAGGGGTCATGAACGAAAAACATTAATATTAAAGGGGCATGAAATCTACTTATTCTAGCCTTGTCTTGTATATATAGCCTAAACGTTACGTATCGTCTTCATTAAGTGTCAGAATGGTTTACACTCGTAGCCAAGGTATTTCATTCAGAAGAACAGAATAATACTTAAATAATGTTTTATCAAAATATATATTCGGGTAAATTCTTTAGAATATCCCGAGGTGAATTCATAACATTTGTAGAAGAGGTCAAGAGATAAAAATAGCTCCCACTAACACCGCCATCATAACTCTTACTGTCACTATTCGATCAATGGTGTGATACCGTTAAATTTAGAACAATTCCCATCCCGAAACGAATAGATTCCACTCACCTGATATACAAGATATCCCTAGGGTAATAATTAAGACGAAAATATGGACAGGATTGACAGTATGGTTAGAGTAACGGCGTGTACCCATTCCCTTCCATCCAGTCCAGCTTAACAGGGCCTCGGCCGCCTCGCTTTTCACTTCACTTCGATTGCACGTCAGGTTTTCTCTGTAATATAAGAAAGCACCATTCGCCATTAATCAAGTTAACTCCATGCTAGTTTTAATATCACTGACTATCACTCGCTACATCTCGCTTCTTATATCCCAATTATTCAAAATAATAACAATACAACATTTCATGAATTATCCGTTTACACAAGTTTGTTTCGTAGTCTCTATCGTACTGGAGTGAGTTATGAAACGCTCTCAAAGCCGTCTTTCTAAAACAAGGTCAGTAGGCGGATCGACATGTCAATCAGCGCTCTGAGGTGTTAACCACACCCTTTCCAGATACGCCTACATAACGATGTATCAAATATCAGCTTTTAACTGTCAAAATTAACTAAGATCTACAAAGTAAGGGGCTTTGTGATTGGCTGATAGTAAAAAATGTTCACACTTTTCGTCTTGTAGAGGTCTTATCGTTTGACACTAGGGTAAGAATAAGACGAGCTGTGTGTGTACCATTGTGTAGCTCTGATCACTGAGTTGTAAAATGGCAGATTTCAAACCGGGTTGAATATTCACTGTTATCTTATCTAGCACGAAAGAAAAGTAATTTGGAAGCCGGCGATTATAATCGTGAGATTTGTTACGTATATAATGCGATATATACAGTATAGTTTTTCATAAACTGAGGTATATCAGAGGTTTACTGTATACCCAACCTTCTATATCTATCAGGAATGCATGTTTTACTTCCAATACACACGTGCATCATATCGGAATTCTGCATCGACATTATCATTCACATCTTGTATCTCAATCTACCTTGCAGTACAATCTTTTCAGCGAAATTATTGAAGGGTTAATTTAAAGAGTTTTCATTAAAGGGTTAATGCCTTTTAACTATTTATAAAATTTCTTGCAATATATGCGTTTATTTCTCTAGGATGTGTAATATTAACATTGATAGTAATCTGCATTATTTGCTATTTTGAAATTTTCTCGCAATACATATATAAGACCTGCATTGCATTCTTCTAAGGTTTGAGTCAAACCAAAACTTTCAAAACTTGAGTGTTCGAATATATATATGTTAATGATAAGTTTTCACTATTAAGTAAGTTTTGTTCAATACATAAACTGGCCACCATACTATCTTTCCGGAAAATTAAGGATTCGTTTTACAAGTGTTCACGCTTCATTTTCATCATTTTACTAACGTTTTTACCATACATTGATTATGCTACTTTTTGCAAAATATTTCAGACCGTTATCAAATCAGTCAATTCTGAATTCTCTGATCCAATAAAATAACAGAATTTTAAAAATCATGATACCAAAAAGTGATGAAATTTAGAATATATTTGAGTAAGTTATTACCTATATATAGAAGTTAATAAAGACATGTTTGACACTTGAATGAAATCTGTAGGGTAGGACAGGGTCTATATATTAACCATTAGTGGGGATGGGGTCTTGTGCAAGAACAACAACCCCAGGTAATGGACTAGTGGGACCCAGGGGTCCGGCAGCATACCAAGAGGAAGTCAATCGAGAAATGCAGTACCAGCGAGGGGTGATCTCCGATCTAGTATGATAACATTGGTCAAAACAATGTCCACTAACGAGGTTGTGATTGTATCGTTCTCTCCTTAGAAAAATTCACGCCATGCTCCCTGAGTGGTTTCCCATCATTGCACACTGCATGGTGTTCATTAGCATAAGATACAAAATAGAAAGATCCTTCATCATCCACAAACGGCGACGAAAAAAATCAAACTCATTGAAATAGATTTGGTATAAGGTTTTATAAGAGAAACTCTCTTATAGAAGCACTGGCCTAGGTCACAAGTAGGTACTGTGAATTTCAGCATTGGAATATTGTACATCAATATGATAGAAAATTACCTACTGCTGGAGAGATTTACAAGATAAACAAATAATTCAGAAATGCAAAGCGATTGTTTTAGGGAGTTAATGAAAGGGTATCTAATCCACCATGGACAAGAACATTTTTTGAACGTAGTCTTATAAAAGCACTGGCCTAGGTCACATTTTTTGGTATATACATACATATAATGATAATCGAAAGCATAGAATATTTTCTGTTTCAAGTCATTAAGGGATTGTTAAGAGGTTACCTATATAAACATCTTTAGAAAAAAAACCTCTTTAAAATCCATTTAGGGGATTCGAGCCCATGGTACCTACTCATATGATTGCCATTAATGTAGCGCTGGGTTTAATTAAAGTTATTTTCGAATGAATGTGTGTGGTAATAACAATATGATAAACATGTTAAATATGGCATCATGCATTTAGAATTCGATGCACCTGCATAAGATTGCCATAGTTGTATTTTATTATTGTCAAAACTCTTTCAGGTGGAGGGCTGACCTGGAAAAATAGTAAACGGATGTTTTTCATGGCAGCCTTTTCCCCATTGCGCACTGCATGTAGCTGTAGACTTCATTCTCCCAATCAAGAGCAAAACAGTAGGGCCTAATCTTTCATTTAATTATTTACTGACTAGGGAAATATAAAAATTGTTGGTGATGTTGGTTGCGTTTTATTACATAAAAACTGAAACATAAAAAGTCTACGAATGTCTTGTCAAACTGGTATTTTGGATTTTGGGTTTAGGTTTGCGGTTTGGATTATATAATTGATTTTTTCTAAACCAAAGGCAAATGGTCTAACCACAATCTCCACGATCTACAAGGATCATCGACACAAAAAGTATCACCTTGAGGTCTAGAAAACAATTAGACCAAATTACATCTACCACCTTAACTAAGCACCCTAGTGATAATCCAGCTAAATCCTTCACCTACCTCGATAATCCATCGATTATAGACAAATCCGCACATAATAGAGAATACATGAACACCAATCCGCATTAAATCCAGATTAAATATTAAACCCGTTTCACTCGTGACGAAGTAATGCTTCCAAGTGGCGAACATTGAGGGATGAAGTAGTTTTGAAGCACTGACTTGTGAGAATAATCTAAGTCCAATCCGATCGGGTTGATTGGTAAACGATTGTTGACAGTCTCAAGCGTGAAAAGTTCACAGTTCACAAACTGATTACTGATAGAATAAGACAGTTAACCGTTCACACCGCCAACATATTTTCATTCAATCAGCTGCAGTGACAGTCGTTTATTATCCAAGCCCGCTTCACACTTTGTCAATTGCAATCTGTTCAAACCCAATCAAGAACTGTTAAATTTGAATCAGGTTTGATTTTGACAGAGTTTTGTTTTTTCTACTTATGACATGGAGTGTTGTAAATAGTTTTGAATAAA